ACAGTGACAGTGGCAGTGGCAGTGGCAGTGGCAGTGACAGTGGCAGTGACAGTGACAGTGGCAGTGACAGTGACAGTGGCAGTGACAGTGACAGTGACAGTGACAGTGGCAGTGGCAGTGGCAGTGGCAGTGGCAGTGGCAGTGGCAGTGGCAGTGGTGGAAGCGAAGGAGGAGGCCGAGACGCGATGCCATTGGCTGCGGAGGAGGTGCTGTCGCCAGCGGCAGTGGATCAATCCACGTGGGCGGCCAGGGGGGGGGTATGGCTCTTCCAATGCGTGTGGCTGCCCACCTCCCCGTCTTACCACAATTCGCCAGCGCTGCCTCCTCGCCTTCGCCACCACAAACGTCCCTCGCTGCATTTCGACAAGACGAGCGTCACTCATTGTGAAACGATCAAGAAAACTGAAAGGCACGGTGTTTAGAATTAATTCTAACAGAAATGTTTAACAGAGATCCGTTTACAAATACTTGTAATTACACTTTAAAATATATTTATTTTCTATATGCAGGTAAATTTTCTACAAGGTAACGAGGGTCTCTCATTTAATAAATTTTAGCAAGTACCTCGTGATGATTCCACTACTATGAAGGATGAGATCTGTGAATGTGCGTACTCGAAACAATGCAGATACGGCTTTCTTCTCTCTGTAGGAGGAATTGGTTTCTTAAGTTTTCTCCAGAAGTGTCGTTAGACTCCACATAATTGTATTAACATTTTAGGGAAAGGGCTACATTGCGATTTTGGGAACGTAACTATAATGACGTCACGATGGTGCCCGATTGGATAAAACGCAAACAGCTGATACCTGCCAGGGGCAGAGTAGGGCTATCGTAGTATAGTCATAAAGAAGCCAAAAATGGGAAAACTTAGAGTAGTATTCCCAGCCCAATTTCCAACTGAACAATTACTGCTAATCAATTACCTAGTATGAACTCGAGCATTCATTATTGACAAATTGTGTTTTCATGAAAATGTTTTGTCAGAATACACTGAAAAACATATTAGGCCATAATATAGGTATTTGCAGAGACATGACTACTGTCCTGATCAACCATCTTGCAGCGAGGGTGGCAGCAATGTCGTTTTAGCAAAGTGGGTGGGCACAACTAGTGGGTGCGAGCGAGCGTATTTAAAACGTGGTTTGGAAAAGAAATATATGTAATACAGAGATAGGTATGTAATACTGCGAATAATCGATTTCTAGACTTGAACTGAAATACATGTTTTTGGGTATCCTAATGCTTCAAATGAGTTGTTTCTTTATTCAAAACGTTCGTCCTTCCGTCTGTTTGTTCATCCCCACGTCTGTTCGTCTGTAAACAAGACTAATGCTTCATCTATTTGTATAAATGTTGACAAAATACATTTTCCGCGGTCGATCTTTCCCAACTCAAAGCCCTTATATTTTGAAAGAAAATCTTTACTTTATACAAAGCCTCGGGGATTTTTTCCAGATTTTCTCGAAAATGGCTCTATACGTTTTATATTTACTTTTATCAAAAAGAGCTTACAAAATGGCGCAAGTCCTGCTTCCTTTGATCCCTCTGAATTTCCGAAAATTCCAAAAGTTACAAATAATACGAGAAAGTATTGTAGTGTTGAATCACCACTAATTTCAATCGAGTCATTTGCCACCTTTCTTGTGCTTCATAGCGTAGCGCGTGTCTTGAACCGCAGGAACTCGTCGCGCAATTCTTGTTCTTCCGTTGCCTCCTCTCCACCGCTTTTCTGATTCCGTGCTTCGCTGCGCAGCGCTTAGCGACCTCATCCGAACGCCTCGGCACGTTCCGATCCCTCGCGTAGGCAGCTTTAAGCCCCTTCTTTCGATTTCCTTAAAGCGAGACCGACGTTTTCGTAATAGCTGCACCAGGAGGCATTAGCGAGGGATGAGAGTACCATGCGTCCAGTTGCAGATTTGCGCTTATTTTTGGGTTAGTGAAGAAAATAATTTTGTCTAGATTGTTGTCTGGCATTTGTAGATTTTTAATTTTAAATATATTTCATACATTCAGATTTTAATGATTAATCCTATTTTGGGTTTTGTTAACATGGAAAGTCTAATTTAATTTATGACATATCATTTTTTTTATTTAATAGATAACTATTAGACAAATAAATTACATTACCAGATAGATCGAAGGCTTTTTAGCCATTTGAAAACGTATTTCTTAAAGCATTGTGATCTGTCAAATTCTAATGTTCACCCTCAGATGGCCTCTCCATCGCATCAAAGCCACGGAAAAGAGTATTGTATGGCTAAGAAGAAGCCCTGACGCGGAAAACACCCGACCTCAGAAGACGAGTACTTGCTAATGGAACATTCTCTTTCTAAACTATTTCCTGGTGCGGACGTTCTGTATTCTCCTTCCGGTCTTTGGCCTGTTCAGCACCTGAAATGAAAAAGCGCCACACACGATGTGCGCCCACCCATTTGCCCTCATATTTTACAAAACCACCGTGTACTGGAACTAACAATTCACCATAACTACCCTTCAATGGCTTCTTAGATTAACCTTTTTGCCGATAGTTATTTATATACACCAAGGGCGTTTTACTGATCGAGCGGCGACAAAAATCTCGAGAGCTTTTGGCCCGTTGGATGTTTGACACCCGATATTAGAACTACTTCACGCCCATGGTGCATACATTATTTTATTTTTTAGCTTATTTTATCGATTACTAATTAACTAAATGTTAACTTGACTCGTGTTGTCTTTTGATATTTCCCTCCCATAATTCCCCTTCATAAGACATCCTGTAGCGTCATTCAATTGTTTCCATATTTCCCTCGCAACTACGCACTCCAACGGGCCAAAAGCCCTCGGGGGGGGGGATGGCCCATGGGCGCACATCTTGTGTGGCCGCGTGTTTCATTCTCAGTGGCAACTGAACAGGTCAAAAGGACTGGAAGAAGAATTACAGACGTTCGCATCAGGATTATTAAATAGTTAGAAAGAGTATGTTCACATTCTCGTCCCTTCTGCCATGCGCTCGGGTTCTTCCGCTTCAGGGCTTCTTCTTAGCCCCCCTACAATACTCTTATCTCCGTGGCTTTCGGAATGCGAGGCCCACTCTGAGGGGTGGAACATCAGAATTTGACAGATTCACCAATGCTTTAAGGTAAAGATTGAGCGTTTCTCAAATGGCTAAAAAGCCTTCGATCTATCTGGTAATGATAATTTATTTGATTTTCTAATAGTTTTTCTATTAAAGTAAAAAAAAATGATGTCATAAATTAAATTAGACTTTCCATGTTTAACAAACCCAACACATAGGACTTAATCATTAAAAATCTGAATGGTGATGAAATATATTTAAAATTAAAAATCTACAAATGCCAGACAAACAATCTAGGACAAAATTATTTTCTTCACTAATCCCAAAAATAAGCGCAAACATCTGGCAAAACTGACGCATGGTTACCTCTCATCCCTCAGCTAATGCCTTCCTGGTGCGAGCTATTTACGAAAAACGCGGTCCGCTTTAGGAAATCGAAAGCAAGCGGGCCTTAAAGCTGCACCTACGCGGAGGATCGGGACCGTCGCCGAGGCGTTCGGACTTGATGGTCGCTAGCCGCTAAGCGCAGCGAAAAGCACGAAATCAGAAAAACGAGTGGAGAGGGAGGCAACGAAAAGAACAAGGAATTGCGAGGAGTCCCCGCGATCAAGACACGCCTACGCAATGAAACTCGAGAAAGAATGGAAAATGACCCGATTGAAAATTAGTGGTGATTCAACACTACAGACTACTTTCTCGTATCATTTGTAACTTTTGTAAATTTTCGGAAATTCAGAAGGGCATCACAAGGAAGCCAGGACCTGCGCCTCATTTTGTAAGCTACTTTTTGAATAAAGTAGAATATAAAACGTATATATAGAGCCATTCAGCGAGAAATCTGGAAATCCCGAGGCTTTTTATAAAGTAAAGGATTTTTCTTTCAAATATAAGGGCTTTTGAGTTGGGAAAGATCGACCCGCGGAAAGACTGTATTTGTCCAAACATTTATACAAAATAAGAATGAAGACACTAGTCTTGTTTACACGACGAGCACAGACGTGGAGGATGAACAAAACAGACGCGTAAAAGGACGAACGTTTGATAAAGAACAACTCATTTGAAGCATTAGGATACCCCAAAAACATGTATTTCAGTTGCAAGTCTAGAAATCGACCTTATTCGCACAGTTTACATACCTCAATCTCTGCTTATTACCAATATATTTCTTTTCCCAAAACCACGTTTTAAATTTACGCTCCGCTCCGACACCCACCTAGTTGTGTCCCACCCACTGTTCTAAAAGAGCGACATTGCTTGCCACCCTCGCTGCCAATGATGGTTATCAGGACCAGTAGTCATGGTCTTCCCTGAACCAAAATACCTATATATATGGAACAACCGTAAATAGGTGTTTTCAGTGTTTTGACAAAACACATTTTTCATTGAAAAAACACAATTTCGTCAACTATATGCGAATGCTCGGAGTATCATACTTAGTTACATCGTAATTAGCAGATGAATTGTTTCAGTTGGAAATTTGGGCTGGGAATACTACTTCTAAGTTTTTCCCCATTTCTGGCCTTCTTTATGACTATACTACGATAGCCCTACTCATGCCATCCTGGCGACAGGTTTATCAGCTGTTTGCGTTTTAATACATCAGCGGCCACCATCTGCGACGTCATCCACTGAGTTACGTTCCCAAATAAATCTATGTAAGTCCTTTCTCGCCTAAAAATGTGTGATACATTATGTGGACGCGTCATAAACGGGACCCACTTTCTGGAGAAAAAACTTAAAGAAAACCAAATTCCCTCCTACCAGAAGGAGAAGAAAAGCCGTGATCTGCGTTGTTTCGAGTACGCACCATTCACAGAATCTCATCCTTAAGTAGATAGTGGAAATTCATCAAACCCCGACGGTACTTGCTAAAAATTATTAAAATTGAAGAAGTACCCCTCTCCGTTACGCTTGTAGAAAAACTTACCACCTGACATATACGAAAATAAAATATATTTTAAAGTGTCATTACAAGTAATTATGTAAACGGATCCGTCTGTTCATAACATTTCTGTTAGAATTAAATTCCTAAACCGCCGTAACCTTTCAGTTTTTTGCTTCATCCGTTCACAATGAGTTGACGCTTCGTTACTTGTCGAAATGCCAGTGAGGCAACTCGTTATGTTAGGTGGCAGGACAGGCGAGTAGGCAGGCCGGCTTTGGCGGGAATCTGCGGGTAAGACGGCGCGAGCAGTGGGCAGCCACAACGCATTTGGAGAGCACATAACCCCCCCCCACGGCCGACCCCACGTGGAATTGAATCTCAAATCTGGCGCTTGCGCGACAGCAAACCTGCCCGGCAGGCTCCAAATGGGCATTCTGTCGGGTCCGGCCCTCCTCCTTCCGCTTTCACCACTGCCAACTGCCGCACTCCCACTGGCCCCACTGCCCACCTGCCAATTGCCACTTGTAGCCACTTGGGTCCCACTGTTCACGTGTACATCTTTGTCACTTGCCACTGGTCAGGCTTGTCACTTAATGGCCTCCCACTTGTCACTGTTCCACTGCCAACTGGTCC